ATTATCTCAAGTAGAAAATATGTTTTAGTTAAAAGAGGGACTGAAAGTTCAATAATCTTTTAACTAACAGCTACATGTTAGTCCTATTTGGAAGGTAAAGTGGCCAAGCAATCCTACAAGGGCCAAGAAGGTTTGCGCAACTATTCAACTGGAACTGGTACATACTAAAGTATGTGGACCACTTAGCGTTCAGACCAGAAGAGGTGATGAGTACTTCATTATATGAATGTTTACTCTGGATTTGGACAGATGAACCAAATGTGCCATAAGTCTAAAGCTTTTGGAAATTTCCAAGAGGTTTAGTCTGAGGCAGAAAAGCATGTAGGTGTTCAAATCAAAAACACTTTGGTCTGACTAAAGTGTTGGCTACCTATCTGGTAATTTCAGGTCTTACATGATTTAAGAGGGGATAGTTTTCGTAACTGTCAACTCTAAGAACGCATTAGTTGAATGAAGTTGCAGTATGCAAAAATCAAACATTTCTAGACTTGGTGAAGATCATGTTCAGTTATTCATCTTTGCCAATGTTGTTCAAGGGAGATGCCTAAGAGAAGGAAATCTATCTTCTTAACTTGGTTCCGTCAAAGTTTGTTGTAAAGACACCTAAAGAATTATGGAAAGGGTGCAAGCCCAGATCAAACCATATTCGGATTTAGGGTGCTACGGCACACGTCCTACAACAGCAGTCAAATGAGATGGAATCTTGTATGGAAGTGTGCATATCTTTTGGCTACCCTAAGAGAACTAGGGATGATTTCTTATTTAGTCTTAAGGACAAGATAATCTAAGTGAGCACTCACATGATTTTCTTAAAGGAGGACTAGATAAGAAATTATAAGCTCTTAGGTTAGGTTATTCTTGATGAGATTTATCTCAGATCAAGAATTTTCAAAATCTGTAGAAGCTTCATCCACTGTTCCCTTGATTGTTCAAGAGGGGACAGATATATCTCTAAGTGAACAAATAAGAGAACCATGATTGGAAATTCAACATGATAATATATAAGTGAAACTAGTAGAAATATTAGTATCACATGTAAAGGAACAATATCAAGGATAAGCGGATCCTCAAGAAATTGAAGATCCATCATTTGACCCACTCTTTGTTTTACTTATAAATACACATGGTCTAGTGCAGTACATTCGTAGTGGGAGAGAACCTTGTTAACTCTCAAGTTGTCTCTTGTTGAGTGACATTGATCCTACTAGTTACGATAATGCACTAGAAGATGTTGTTGATCAAGTGTTGCTCAGACTATGAACAATGAGATGAAATACTTGTATTTCAACTCCGTTCGGTCCTAGTAAAGACACCAAGAGGGGTAAAACCCACAAGGTGCATGTCGACATAAAAGGCAAAGAGAGGATGGACAGAAAGGTGAAAACCTTCAAAGCTAGCTTGGAGGCATTTTTTGCCAGACGCCATGCTTGAGTCTATCCAGATTCTCTTAGTTGCTATAAGTCTCAATTATGAGATTTCATTTTGGGAGTTGGATGTCAGGATATCTACATACAACAACCAAAAGGGTTTATAGCAAATGAGCAGGAACACACGGTATGCAAGTTGTGAAAGTCTATTTCATAGACTTAAGCAAGCATCCAGGTCTTGAAACATCATTTTTGATCAGGTTATCAAAATTTTGATTTTGAGAGAACCTTGATGAATGATGTGTATTTGTATGTAAAGGATACAACGGAAGACAATAGCTTTTCTGGTACTTTATGTAGATGATATGCTCCTTATTGGAAACAATGTGGAGGTAATATCAAGCACAAAGAGTTGGCTAAGTTAGTGTTTTGGTATGGAAGTACTGGGGAAGCCAATTATATTCTTGGTATAAAACTCTTATGAGACCGGAAGAATAAGTTGTTGGCATCACCTCAGGCTACTTACATTGACAAAACCCAAAATTCAACATAAGAATTCTAAGAGAAGAATTATAATTCTCAGATGTGAAATTCATCTTCCTAAGGAGTGACCAAAGACTTCTAAGAAGGAAGAATGCATGAGCAAGATATCTTATGCTTTGGCAAAGGTAGACTCACGCATATCATGTTGGGCGTTAAACCAAACATCTGTCACGCAGTGGGAGTAGTGAGATAGTACCATTTTGAACCTAGAGGAATACTAGATTATTGTTAAGCATGTACTCAAGTATCTTTGGAGAACGAGAGATTATATGCTGGTTGGGAGTCTTGAAAAGCTGAGTTTTCAAAAATTCAGTTATTTCAAGTGGATATTGACTCAAGAAAATCAACCTCGAGCTATGAGTTTTTCACTAAACTCAGATAGCATTAGAGGTGGATCTTGCAGACCCAGTTACTAAGAGTTTGCCTGAACTTGTGTTCGAGAGGCATGTTACTTCTTTGGGTCTTAGGAGGATCCCAGACTTGCATTAAGCAAGTGAGAGTTATTGGTTTCATTGTGCTCTTGGAGTAAGACGATGAAACAATAAAATAATTTTCTGAATTTCATAAATAAGGTTTTATTTATTTATTTTGCGCACTATTTACAAACATAAAGGTCCGGATCAAATTGTGGAGTATATGATCATATGGATACGTTCATGGAGGACATGATCATAGGTTCTCACAATTGATGAATGGAGTCACAGCCGTTAAATAAAGTTGGGCACTTTATTCAGGCTGCAATATTTTATGAAATGATTTTGTCCGAATCATTGTAAAATATTGGTGTGAATTAACATTTACATTGAAAGGATGAAGGAGAGATTTGATTAAGGTTGTTTTTCTATCATAAGGTATCAAATCTCCAGTTAACTATAGTTATGTGATTGCTCTTAATCCTGAGTTTATTATAAATAGGTAATCAAATAGTTTTTATTCTTTGATTTACCAACGGGTGAGGTTCGATCTATTGACGGCCAATAACTCGGTATTTTGGGAGTGAGATTATTTGATTATCGTTATTTATGAGATAAACAACATGGAATTTGTAGGATATGTCCCCTTGATATGTTTTGGTACTTGGATATTAAAGACACTGGCCAGTGCATGTAATCCATTAGAGAAACTATCATAGTCAAGGGAATAAATAATTGATTAAGTTACAGAAAACTTGTCAATCAATTATAGACATTCTACAAAGGGGCGATGCATATTAATGTTATAAAGGTCATTAATCTTGGAGTTCACGTTCGGGCTTTTAGTGGAGTAGCACCGAATTAGATAATCTTGTAAAGATTATCAGGAGCCTTGATCAATGACAAATGGTAGGTCCCCAGGCTAGCTCGAGACAAGGGATGGGGTATATTATCAGATGATGATAGCTTATGGGCTACATGGTCTTGGGTTTACGAACTCAAGTTTGTATCTTAAAGAGCAAGTGGGAGATTGTTGGATATATGCTCTTTTGGTCACTAAAGTCCTATTGGGCTTCAGTGAAACTTGAGCCCATGAGGCTTAGGGTTGAGTTATGTCTAAGACCTAAGCGTATATATTCAGAGTTTTCTCCTCTTGTGCCTCCAAGGTGAACAGATCATCAGAAACAAACAAACCCCAAGAGGCAGACGTCCATCATCTGAACGGTTGCCCACACAACCATCTCATCCTCCTCGAGAGATAGTTTGGAAGATCTTCCACAGTCCAGCTTCAAGGAGGTTGTTCGTGCTGCGGCGCTGAGGTGAGCTGTTCGTGAGGAGGAATCCTACAAGGGAAGATTCTACACGAGACCTGCGCACCGAGAGGTAATTGTGAAACAAGGATGATTCGGTAAGCATACCAATGTACTAGGTCCTAAACCGCTTCCGCATAAATCTAAGATTTCCTACATTTAGTTGGTGATTTTTAAGTTCGAGGCAGTAAAAAAAAAATGCATGCATATATTGCCTTTCTTTGAAATTATACATCTCCTTTATTTTCACAATATACAAAAGAATATCATTACAGAGTATAAAATATTCCTAAAAAAATATATAAATTCCCTTTAAACTTTTTTTTTTTTTTCAAAATCCTCGTGTAAGAAATTTTGGCTGTAGAGTTCTACGATAAAGGGGAAAATGTGAAAACTCAAAAGAAAATAAAAAGGAAATCGAATTGATTTATCCTAAAAATAAATGTAACTCTTCCGCCTAATTTATTCATTCTTATGACTTCAGCCATATTTTCCTTGGGTGCATGCATTACAAATTTACCAGCAGTGGGATTATGCACTTGAAGTTGGTAGTAGTTTGATGAAATGTGGTTAAAATCGAAATCTTTAGTAAAATCGGAAGGAGATTAGAAAATCGTAATGTAAAAAATCATAAAAACGTAAAAGCGTTTGGAATATTAGTAAAATCGTTTTGATAAAAAAAAATTGTAGTGATAGATCGAGATTTTAACAACAATAATTTCATGAGTTATTAATTCTACAAGGTTCCATGAAGAATATTGCAGTTCAAATAACTTAAAAATGTCTGCAAACTTTGGATGCCTTTTTTGGTAAGCCCATCTGCAACTTGCAAGGTAAGTTATTTGGGGTCAGTCTCTCAACAACCAATAGGAGAAACAAAAGGAGAAAAGAAATTAATAACGGCATTACCAGCAAAACCAAATCTATGCAGCAATATTTAATTTCCACATTTGCCATTTGGTCACGACCCAATTAGTTTCATAATTGACACAGTTTTTTTAAACCAAGGTTGCCAGCAAAATTGTATTTAATGGTTGTTTAAATTGTCATTTTCACAACTGACATATGTCTGCATCTTCTCCGTCCTATCACTCCTATGTAGGTTGTGTTCATTGCATATTCTGTGGGATATTCTTAGATTCTCCTTCAGAATCACCATGCCACTACCGAACACAGTGGTGTGGTTATGAAATTGCCAAATAAGTAATGAGTATGACTGAGTCAGAATGTTAAAATCCAAAAGACCCCAGTTTTAACTTCAAGTAATTTGTCACAATCTTGATAGACTGTTACCAATTAAGAGACACTGAACATGCTTCCACATCCAAAATTTGAAATTTCAGTTCACTATCTTGTGCTAAGGAGAATTGTCACTTTAACATGGTAAGTGTTAAACACCTAAAAGAAAGGGTGTGACTTATTTAACATCAAAATTGTCACTTTCTGTATATTTTACCTCTATAATTTAAATCCCATATAACAAGAGGAAATAACATTTTAAAAAAAAAAAAAGCCAGAAGAAAATATCACAGGACTATACAGAAACTTGGTTACAAAACTTGTACAACATCTTCAAACTCGATAGCCAGGGGAAGTAGTGGTGGTATGTGTGGAGGTTGATGAGGCAGGGGAGTTTGAATGAACAGCCCCTTCACTGTGATTACCCTTTTCTTCAGAATTTGAATGCTCAAACAGCTCTACTTTCTTATACTGTGCCTTCTTAATTGAAGCAGGTGGTGGTGTGCGTGAAACAGCCGGAGGATGGGTGGCCACTGGCGCATAAATTCCGGAAGGTGCTGCAACTGTGGTTAGTTCCCCTGATGCTGTTGAGGTAGCTACCGCTGTATATTCCTGTGGTTGAACAAAAATGTTCCCCACAAGGACAAAGGGTGTTGTTGTCTGTGGATTGGCACTGTTGTGAACTACAGGACTTGGTCTTCTAGTGTGTAAACGGTATTTCTGTCCAAAACCACAAAATGAAAATTTTAGACTATAACTGAGAATATGGAACAGTTGGAACTCAAGAATATTAATTTACTGAAACTTCTGCAACAAAAAATTTATCACTCATTCAGTTTGGATTCCCTTAGAACTGAAGGGGAGGGTAGTTAAAAGATTCCATATATATGCAAAGAACTGGAGGGACTAGACAATAGAAATTACAAAAAGCAAAGACTTAGATTATGAATTCACTAGCTTAAGCCAAATTTGAAAACCAAACATTTGGGATATATATAACCCATATGCTTACCTGTAAATGGCTTTTGACTTCATCATTTGTGAGGCCATCAACCTTCATCAGCTCTCTGATTTGCTTTGGTGTAGCAGCTGCAAGAGCCACCAAAGTATCAATATGCAGTTACAATAACATCCTAAATACATAACATTAAGAACTTGGAATAGATTAAGATACTCACAATCTGGACCTCCAAGCTGCTGAAGAGCATGCAAGAAGCGCTTATGCAACTCGTGTGACCAGCACCGGCGCTGCTTTCTCTGTCCCTCTTTCTCCTCTCCTTTTCCAGCATTGTCCCCGGTGACTGGCGCCGCAGTTGAAGAGGGTGCTTTACTTAATGGTTCACTTGTCTTGCAAGCTTTTTCTTCTTTGTGGAATGGCTGGAAAGCACCACCTCCACTTCCACTTCTCTTCAATTCCACCACAGGCACGTTCCTACTCACATCCTGAACAAAATTTTCACAGGAATTGCACACAAAAAATCAATCAGTCGCTTGTTCTATTCTGTTTTTTTTCTCTTCAATACAAAGCAGAAGACTCAAGCAATGGTAATTTGATAATTAAGCTATAATTTTCTTACATCCTCAGCTGGGGGATCTGGATTCCATAACTGCACAGATTTAAGCCAATCTGATTTCCTCTTATCATTGTTCTTATTGTCCTTTGAAACCTTGTGCTTATGAGAATGTTGCTCATCCTCATCACAATAAGGGGATGATGCTCTCTTCTTGATTGGGATAAACTCCTCCAACACAGGACCTTCCGTTGATGTTGTCTGCACTGAACACTCCGATTGCCCATTCGAATTATAATCATTTATAGTACCAGACAAGTGCTGTCTACAGGCTTCAATGGCTGCATAAAAATTTCAACACAAAAAAAAAAAAAAAAAAAAAAAACCCAGAAACCAAAAACCCACATCAGCATCAAAGAAAACAAACCCAGAAACAAAAGGAAGAAACTTTATCATCTTCATACCATAAAGAACATAAAGGGTGTTTGTTTGTTGGTTACCTTGTGTGACCAGCTCGAGGGAAAGAGGAAGCTCTTTGGGGAACACCTGAATCTTACGGCGTTCTTCTTCCAATGCTTGGATGTAGTTAGGGAACCCCATCTTCAAACGCTGCATTTTCTCAGTGAAATTCACGGAAGCCAAGGTGGTGTTGGTTTTAAGAAGATGAAGGAGAAAGAATATATAAGGAAATGGCGTTTTGTGAAAGCAGCATAGAGGGATCCGGAGAGAGAGAGAGAGAGAGAGAGAGAGAGAGAGAGAGAGCTTCTCAATGAAGAATAAAGGATCTAACCAGAATCAAAATTTGGAATAATAATGAACTTGTAAACCAAGTAAGAAAATAAAAATAAAAATAAAGAAAATTCCCAATAATCAGAGAGAGAAAAAGAGACAGTTCAGCGCAGAACTCGGAAATACATCGAGGTCGGGCCGTCGCATACAAAACAAGAATCTTTGATGCATTTTATATTGTTTTCTTAATTTTGTTTTACTGTCTATACTGTTTCTTTCTCTTTATGGGTGAGTCAGGGGATTTCTTTCTTTTTCTTTCTAAATTTTGGAAAAAAATGGAAAATGCAAATAGGATCACGAAGAGATTTTAAAATATATAGAGAAGTATTTTTTTGATAAATTTCTTAACTGCTTAGATTCAATTTAATAATATTTTTTTTAATTAAATATATAATTATATAGGAAAATATTATTCTTATGCAACATAAGATAACACTATTTCTTACATACTCATTGATTTTCGTGTAATTTAATTTTCATTTTTTTATTTTTTATAAATGAGTGGACCCCATCCATGATTGTCTCTATGGTAGGAGAGAACTTCTCTCCTACAACATAAGATTAATAAAGCCCAATTATATAATGTCACGTATTTTAATTTTAATAGAGTTGATGAAATAAAACATAATAATGTCGACACATGAGATAGAGAAAGAGAGGGAATTTATTTAATATTAGAGTGCAAGGTATTTGATTCGCATTTTCATTCTGCGTTAGCAATGGCGTCACCCATTCTATCCTTTCACCAATCTCCATCCTTGTTTAATTCATCGGATAAGATCAAAAATCCTTCAAGTATATCCTTTTATGCCAACAAAATTATTAAATTCATTTCTTAAAAAACAAAAAAACAATTTTTAATATTTTAATTTTTTATAACTGTTAGAGAATATATAAATTATCAAAAAAATTAATCCAACACATTAAAATTTTGGGTTGAATTAATTCTTATAGCTTCACTGACCATAAAATCATGAGTTCAATCCTTACATAGTTTCAGTGACCATAAAATCATGAGTTCAATCCTTACATAGTTTCAGTGACCATAAGTTCATGAGATTGATTCTTACTATACTTCACTTTCTAGTGAAATTAAAATAAGCATAAAATAAAATAAAAAATTAGGTCTATGTAATATCTTCGCTTCAAGTCTAAAGAACTTTTACGTGAAGAAATATATTAAAGAATAATATAAACTATTAAAAGATCATCACTTAATACTATAATATTTTGGGTTAAATTAGTTCGTTACAATAAAAGTGAATTTAATAATATCCAAATTTTAAAAATTTAATATAAATCACAAGTCTTTTATTGTGGATAAATAAAGTCACGTTCGACTGTGTATCAAAAAAAAAAGTCACGTTCGACTTAAATTCAAGACACGTACAGGGAATTTATTTTTGGATTTTATAATTCTCAAATTACATAATAATTAAAATCTTATACCATAGAGGTAAAAAGTACGTGAGAAATGTGAGCTTATCTATTAAAAAAAACAAAAAGTAAGAAAAAAAGTAGCATACCGTTTCATGGTATATGTAGGAAGGATATATTTTTTCCTACTACATGAAAAAACAAATCCCTAGCTTATTATTGGATATATTTTTTGGGAAAAGGGAGATAAAATTATATGCAGTGAGCTCAAAGTGATGTTATTTTGGGTTATAAGATTAAAAAATTATAATGATAAAGACTATCATAACCTTACAATATATTAGAATTACAAAAACATCTTGATTTCTGCTCCAAAATGACATCGTTTTATGGTCGCTGGAGATAACTTATATTCGTTAACCAGTCCTTTACCCATATTTTTTCTCACGTTGTGACTAAATTAGTAGTGAGTCTCATACTTATTAAAAAAACTTTGCACACAAATCAAATGGTTACAACATGATAAAATAATTCTCATGCAACATGAGAAATATTTTTCTTAAATATTATAGGTTATTATGTGTTTTTTCTCAATTGTATTTCTGTTTGGGATACCATTTTGATAATTCTAAAAAACAAGATTTGTTATGAAACATAATTAATTTTTTGAATTCAATTGGCTTAAGTGATAAAATATATGGGTTTTGTTAGGTTCTAGAAGATCGTATTGCTATATTGTATGGTATGCGCTCAGAAATATCCTAGGTATAGGTATTTAGATTGGCTCATAGCCAACACTCCAATCACTGCGCACAAATTAATGACTCTATCTTGAGTAGCTTTGTTGTTTAATATTATTATGATAATTGAGTATTTATCCTTTAGTGAATTCTTAGGTAGGTAGTTAAGATATGATATATAGGAGAATGATCTGTTTACAAACTTTTTTTGAAATTTTTTATAAATTACACTATTTTCTCCCGGGAGAACATAATATAACCAGTGTTCTCCCGGAAGAAGATAATGTAGCTTGTAAAAGTTTATAAACAAAAAATTTTATAGATATAACTTGTCTTGATATATATCCATAAGAGGTGTAATGTTTTTTAGTACATTATGATATGAGTTTAATGTTTGTCATTATAAATTGAAGATAAAGCTATTTTCTATAAATACAATTTTTTTCCTCTCATTTTCTCAAGTAGCTTCATCTACTATCTTACGTCTTCTTATTTCGAGCCGCGAAATATTAAACATATTATATATACCAATACTTAGGAAAAATTTGAGAAAAATGATTAGCATTTATGGAGTTAAACCCGTTTTTATCCTATGTTTTAGATGATACATTTTTAGTCATTTTTTCCTATATTTCCTTCTATTTCTTTCTTTATATCTCCTTCGTTTTTCTTTTTCTTCTATTTATCTTTTCTCTCTCTCTATTTTCTTAATTTTTTTATTTATTGTCTTTCTCTCTTTTTTTTTTTTTCTATAATGTCACTAGTTTTACTTTGTTTTATTCTGTTTTTTCTTTTAATTGTTTATTACTTATTTTAATTTTGTGTTATATATATATATATATATATATATATATATATCTCTTTTTTTCTTCAATTTTTTATATTTTTTATTTGGGTTCATCTACTATAGTACTACCGACCCCAATTAGCTTGAAATAAAAGTGTTGTTGAATCGTTGATGTTGATGTTGATATATATGAATGCTTCCTTTATATTTGATTATTGAAATAATTACTTTATTGATTGTAATTGATTTTTATGTTTATAACTTATTTTAATTAAATTACTTAGTTATAGATTGTGTCAAATAATTGCGAAAGAAGGTGTCTTAGATAAGAGAGATTTCAATGTATCATGACATTAAATTACAAAATGATTTTGTTAGTATATTTTTTTTAGAATATACGTCAAATGACAAAAAAAATTATTTCATTGAAAATAAAAATATTTGATATTGAAAACTCAACAACAAATTTATTAATTTATTTTTTAATTGATTGAGTGCATTTAATTGAGGGTTTGATGTTTGTCATTTTGGGAGAGAGACAGACACAGAAAAACGAAAATCATAAGAGAGAAAATGAGTGATTTTTTTTAATTTAAAATTCAAATAATTTTTTTTCTGTGTCTGTCTCTCTCTTAAAATGACATAACTTTATGTCATTTAAAATGACAAACACTTTTCCCTTTAATTGAATATATTAAATACTTTTAACCTATACGTATTCAATTACTTGATAAGATATTTTAAATAAATGTAATTTATAAAGATAACATTAATGTAATTAATAGACTTATTTATACACTAAAATAAGCTTTAAAAAATAAAAAGACTAAAGCTTAATTAAGCCTAAAATACGCAAATTCAGACGTAATTTGAAAATTTATGTATTCTCTATCTCATTATTATCTTTAAATAATTATTTATATAATATTTCTCTCTATTTTCGGCTCCAAGGGACTTTAGTTAGTAATTTTCTATTGAGATTAATTGTAGCAAGTTTTTTTAATTGAAGTCCAACGCATTTATGTATTTTTTAATAAATCAATCAAATAAAATTTCTATTTATTATTGTTAAAAATATTGTAGTAATAATCAAATAAATGGTGGGGAATTCTATTGTAGTAATTTTTATTGTCATGAATTATTGATTTGGAAAATAATATACATGATATATGATATAAAGATTTATGGGTGACATAACTCACATAAGCATGGAATATACCTGGTGGGTTCCAGAGGGAAACGAATGACAGCTTGCACGCTTATCTTATGCCCGTAATATTAGTAGGTGTAGGACATGTCCTAAGCTTGGCCTTTCATGTCCTCTAATGGCCAACCTCATTGGTCATTTCTTTTTTCTTTTTAAATATATCCTATTATCTCTTTGAGGTGAATAGATTTTTTTCAATATTCTCACAAACTATGAAATTAATTTGTAGTGGAGAAAAGGTTAATTTGGAGTGGAGAAAAGGTTAAGGGGTTGATTGGTCATTTCATTGCATTCACTTTTCTCAATATTCATGGTTCTAGTAATTATCACTCTTCCCACTCGCGCACCCTCAGTGCGTCACTTTTAATCTTCACCCTGTTATGTTTTTCTATATAATTTTTTTTTAGAATAATTGAAACTACGTCATCTTTTTTAGTCTCTTTAACCGATTTATCTTTTTTATTAGTCTATTTTAAGTATTGTCGGAATATATATAGAAAATGATTTTCTCAAAATGATTTTTTTATTCTTATTAAAAAAAAATTGAACTCGAAACATTCGATTAAAAATACAAGCTGCTCACCTATGGTTAAGGTGAACTCGAAACGACTTCACCTATGGTTAGCGTTTATTATTGTTATATGAATTTTTTAAAATTATATTTATCTCTCTTTCTTCATTATTTTGTACGAGAAATGATGTAAAGATATTTATAAAATAAGTAAGTATACTTTTTTAAACTAAAAAAATGACCTTGCATTATATTAAATACAAATGAAACTTCTTTAAGTCATTAGAAGTGAATCAATGGATAATTTACATGAAATTATAAACTCGGACCTAATTGTCATTCTTGCTTAAAAAAGTGCCAGTGTATCAAACGCTAATTTAAAAAATTAGTTATTATCCATGATTTTTAATGAAAAAAAAAACTTATACAGAATGATACAAGAAATTTT